TCTTATCAGGGTTATCGTTAAAAACTGATAGTAAAACCTTTTTCGTAAACTGTAATTAAATGAGCGACAAAAGCTAAACTAAACTAAAACTATAAATATTGTTGCCAAAACTGACTGAAATTAAATAAAAGCAAATGTCAAATGCTTTCTGTTACCATTTTTTAATATTTTAGATGACCATTTATAATACTTGCAACTGTATCTTGACCATTTTGAGTGCATAATATACATTGCGTATTCATGTTGAATTCTTTAAAAATACACGGGGTTTAATAATTGTTTAAAAAAAAAAAAAGAAAAGAAAACAGTGACATTACAATGACCGAACTGGGGAAACAAACTGAAACGCGGACTAAATACAGAGGACTAATGACAACAACCAGAAACAGCCGATCACACTGGGATTCCACACGAGGTTAACAATGGGTCGTGGCACACGGGAGGAGCGGACGATCGGGGCAGGACAATTACTATTTGAAACTGCGTGATTGTCAAATCAAAGCAAACTTGTGGGTTTTGGAAAATTTTCTTGTAGTACTGGAAAAGTTTTGGAAAAGTCATGGAAATTTATTCTGCCAGAACTGGGGGAACCCTGTTCTTACTTCACCACCTTCTTCTCCGCCACTAAAGTGTTTATTGCTTCTATGATTTACTACAACAGTAGCATGTGATGTGCTCCGCAACTGAACTTAATAGGCATAAGGATACACCAAATGTGTACAGACTCCTAACTGTTGGGAGTCAGTTCACGTCAATATATTAGCTGCCCTGCTAATCTGCTGACCAAATTGTGGGTCGTAAGTAATCGTCTGTATAGTATCAAAGCTGGCGTCCTGACAAATGTTTCACCCGTCATCAAAAGCCTGGTGATTATCGTGCATGTGCCGCATAATTGCGGTTATATCGCGACAGCCCTACCCAGCCCTAGTAATTATACCCACATTCATATTCACATATACTCCAATGAACAAGGGGTGAGGTGCTCAGTCACATCCCTTGTATGGGGCTGTGTAGCTGTAGATCAAACTTGCTGGCTGTCCACATGATGCAGGGCTTTGTGTTGAGCACTCGGCACCCTGTCGCCGGTTTACGGTTCTTTGCCACCTCTGACCGCTCTCTCTAGGCTTTCACCATGGCTGTTTCCAAGATGCTCTGACCCAGTCGTCTGGCCATGATGATTTGACATTTGTCAGAGTCACTTCGGTCTTTATCCCTGTCCATATCTTCTGCATTCAATATGCTGGCTATGAGTATTGAATGCTAACTTGCCTTGTAGTGTATCCCAGACAGTGACACGCACTGTTTTTACCGGGTAGCCAACATTATTCGCTTCGCGTGCGGATGGTCATAATGTTTTGGTTCTTTGGTGTATATAAACAAAAAGCTGTGTCCCAAAAAAGGTAACTTTTAGTTTCTGGTTTAATATATGGTGCTATCTGTATTAGACAAAAACTGGAAGAGCTATTTATAACTCCTGGAGGCTTTTGTCCTTCCTTTGGATTTTCTTCTAATAGGCGCTTGCTTTTAAGTAGGTTAGGCTTGATTGGTTATGAAATGGCCTTGGAGAGGAGGGGCAGACTGATGGTGAACCAGATAGTCGGCTCCTTCCTCCCTCAGGAAAACTCTAACCTTGCTTGACTGTAAACAGCTCAGGCATGAAAGACGTCAATGTTCATCATTTTTGGGTGTGTAGAGGGCTATAGAAAGGCCTGAAACTTTTTAACATAAAGAAAAGTTGATGAATGATGATGTTTACCATAGTCTGACCTGAGCGAAAATGTGAACTGCATACTTTCTGTGTAAATATGACTAGATTTGGGACAGCAAGTGGACTGTTTGGTCCTTTGGGATAACAAGTCTGGTGTTAATACTGTCTAATTTCAGCATTTACTTCTAATGAAAGTACGCATAGAGACAAAAATAATGTTATGTTTTTGAAAGCTAGTTTTATAAATTACTGTTTTTAATTCATGACTCAATTTTGTCATTGCCACAGCCATCTGCTGCTCAGGTTATCTTTAGGAATATTGAATAGGCAAACAAGTGTTCTATTCTCAAGTATACTGCTTTTCTGTATCATTTATATAAATGTATATATATTGTGTGTGTGTGTGTGTGTGTGTGTGTGTGTGTGTGTGTGTGTGATGAACATTGATTCCAAAAATTATTATTCAGAGAGAAATGTAAAAATTGGAACCTTGAATAATCCAGATAAAATTATATATAAATCATTTATTTCATTAGTTTTCCTTCTTTAGTTTTCTGCCCTATGATCACACTTGTGTCTGTTCTGCCCTATGCTCACCTTGGTCGTTTGTCACTATCCATCCATCTGGTGATGCAGCAGGAGACCTGGAGCCTCTCCCAGGTAGCATAGGAGACTAGGCCTGACTTCACCCCGGATGGGATGTCAGAACATCAGGGAAGGCACATGTCAGGGTGGGATTCACATCCCTAACCCTCTGGCAGCAGTGAGGGGAAATGAAAGGGACTCTCAAATGGAAGGAGAACGCATGGCCGCTGACCTTCTTAGATCTGGCAACAGGCACCAAAGATGGATAAACAATGAAACCATTTACCATTATTAGGGCAATATTTAGAAACTTATAATAACCAGAACAGATGTACATCTGTCTTTCCCAACATACAATAACGAGGATTTTTTTTTAGGTGGAACTTGAAGAGAAATCCAAGTGTCATAGCTAGAGAATTGCAGTATTGATTGCATCTGGACATAAGTCTTCTGCCAACAGGTTGCCAGTGGAAAGGTTTCCAGAAGCGTTTATTGTGAACAGTCGACAAATGTAAGCACTTGGAGGCTGCCAAATGGAATTGGCACTGGGTGTGGAATCTGGTACTATGCTGAAGTGAGTCTTTGATGAAGCACGTCAGCAGTGGCTTAAGCTTTGGATGGATTCTGTAGCAAACAACATGACCTAATCATCTGCCAACCGTTAGTCCGTGGTACAAGGTACTGGGATGATTTAAAAATTATTTTGCTGAAACCTCGTTCATTGTTCATGACCTTGGTTTGTGTCAGAAAATATCCCTGGCACCAGTCAAAATCAGCACTGTGTAATATTACAAAAATCTGCATAAAATGTGGTTGGTTTATTGCATTGAATCACTGGTACGGTAGATATATGAAGTGTGTGTGTATAAATAATATACATATTATACATATAATATACATAGTATATAAATATATATAAAAATGTCTCCTTTACCTAAAGGTTGTCAGTTGTGATGTAACGCTTTTGCATGATAACTGTTTATGCTTCTCTGTATTGTGCAAACATCAAAATGGAGTTTCTACCACCCTGATGTGTTTGGATACCACCATGGGAAAGTCAAAAACCCTGGAATAATATGCCAGTATTAGAGCCTGGTCGTCACGCTGTTTGTTTTGCCTTTTCTCTGGCTGCTGTCTGCCAGACTCTCAAATAGGGTGACGGGCAGCTAGTTTATGAACATGATGTTTCACTCTCTCTATTCCAGATGAGAGATTTCTGTTGCCAGGTTCATTGTCTATTTTACTTCAGTGATTTATTACAAAATCGTTTGGCCTTTATGACGTTTTCTTTGTCACACGCAGCACCTTTTTACTTTTCATTAGGGTGGGTGGACGTGGAAACTAGAATTGAGTGTTTCGCTGTAGACCATAGACTGACTTTCCACTGTATTATACTGCTGCTCTGGTAACTGACAGGTAGCCCTGGAGCCTGTTTGGTTTTGGGCTGAGCAAACTGCGGACAGCTGAGGCTCCAGTGAGCTACGCCGCAGTTCTAACCAGTGCAGAATTGGGTTTGTTTGCATGAACCGCATGGAGTTTGACTGGACATGTTTAACAGAAAATGGTATCGCTTAAGATACTTAACTGTTCCTCAGTCACTCTTATTTGTGTCTATCACCTTTATCAAGTAAAGCTGGGCAATTTTGTGAAAGTAAATGAGAGAAATTGATGCGATTGTGTTAAAATGCGCACTGAAGGTCTCTGTAGAAGAGATTATAGACAGACTTCAGAAAGTCATGGGTAATTTTTTTCCAGAAGTGTTACACAAGCGGTATCATTTGGTATCATAAGGTTACTCAGAAAGAGAAGCCAGAAAAACAGAATAGCAGCGGACTTTTGATTCTCCTCCAAAAATAGCGCTCAGCAGATGGCTTATGGGTCAAAAATGCATGATTTTGTGGTCATTGTGTCGGCTCAGCTTGATGATGTAATGCTGTATTCAGTGACACAATGTGTCTGAGGAAAAAATACATAATTGAGGTAGGCAATATCAGACCATCCCACGGTTACAGTGATGTCCGATCCCACACCGGTGTGCAAGAAAATCTCCTGTTTGAGGAGCTTCTGGGAAAGTTTTGTAGGAAAACTGTTCACCCTGAGAGCGAGTGAGTGAAAGTTAGTTGCCAGGCTAATGGCTACGCATTTTACCACAGAAACTGCGTGAGGCTGGGATCCCTGTTCCTGAGCTGGGCAAGAAGGCTGGAGGAGGAGTGGAGGAACAGAACAAGGCTTTGAAGGAAGATGTGAAGAAGCTGAAGGAAGAGCTGGACACCACTAAAAAAGGTATGGGCAGTAAGAGGAGCCAGGAGCGGCAGCTAACGTGCACTATTGGGGGAAAGTGATGATGTAACCAAGTGTATGCATTTTGAAATGTTTGTAGTGAATATTTTTCTGCCTTAGATGGATTTTAAGAAGTGGTCATATCACATGCTACATTGCTGCATCCTCCAAATTATGACTATTATACAGTTTTATCGTAGAAACGTAATGATTTGTTGTGAAGGATTTAATATTAATTTGGTAAAATGTGTGTGTCAGCCCTCCAGAAGTCAGAGAGTGACGTGAGGGCTATGAAGAAGCAGTCTGAGAACCTGACGGTGGAGTATGACCGCTTGCTGGAAGAGCACGCCAAGCTGCAGGTCTGTAACCCTGGGATGCGGATGCATCTGCAGCCTTTGGTATCACTACCACCTCTGTGGTAGATGTGGTGCCCACCCAGACAGCCATCTCAGATACACTGTCAAGCCCTGCGGGGCGGTAAGCGTAGTGCTGATTGCTATGTATGGTTCAGAACAGGGTGTCCTAATTCCTGTTCTCATAACCCAAATACCGGGCTTTTTTCCCCCAAGTCTTTAATTAAGACTGAGTGAAATCAGTGAAACGATATTAAAACCATCGTGATGTAAAATGGTACACTGTATCACAGGCATACCTGGAATTTTGCATCCTTTTTAAGATATTAAAGGTTTTTACTACCATTAGCAAGAATTTCTCCATACTGAAGTCACTTTTTTCCAAAGCTCTTCACACAGCAAGCGCAACAGTGGTCTGTCTGGACTAAACTGTGCATCATTTTTCATTGATTTCACAAATGCATTCTATAACCACATCTTAGAAAATTTTGGGATTTTCTAACTCGCCACCAACCAAACGTTGTATTTAGAACCCATTTTCCTCATGCTAACGTGGTTTTAAAATGCGTTCTAACCTGAATTACTACAGTTTTCTACTTCTCCAAAGTGACAAAAGTCAAATATATTGAAAATATAAATAATAAAATGAAAAATATTAGACCAAACGATGAACACTTCTGATTACCTCTTCACCCGAATATCCATCCAGGTGTTTTATTTTTAAGCTGGTTACCATACAAAAAAGAACGATTTCCATTATAAAAATGGATCATGTAGGTAAAGTTTTTAGAGGAAGGAGAGTGGCAGTGAGAAGAGAATGAATGCATGGTAGGAGAAGTGGAAGAAACTGGAAAAAGAACAACAGCAGGTATCCCAGGCCAGAGCTCCCAGTGTGTGCAGCAGCATCCAGTGGTGGGCTGGTGCTGCATGTACTAGTCATTGACCCATACAGCCCAGGTCCTAGATGATCTATATGGAAGACTTGTGCCAGCAGAGGAGAAAAGACGAGTGAGAAGAAATGTCACTCTTTGCTGTTGTAAGGGCTAATGTGGCATTTCACTGCTCTGGCATATCCCAAAGTCACACTGATTTATAGGACACAGTTCAAAACATTTGATGGCCAAAGTGTTGTACAGGGTCACTAAAAAGGAAGAGATAAAAATCAAAAGAGTACAAGAGAAGGAAAAAAATCATCACATAATCACAAAGAACATGGAAACGTGAGATGTTTGGTGTATTGACCGAGGGGAACATGTCAACCTGGCAATAATGATTTAAAAGCTAGAGAACAGAATCCCAGGCTGGCCTCCCTTCTCCTGGCACCATACTCCCCCTTCCTCAACCTGAAACTGAGGAATTCCTCTCTACATGGATATGAAAGTATGCAACCACGTGACCAAGTGAATGCCATGAATGCAGGGTGGGTGAGGCATGCTACGAGACTCTCTCAGATGTATGTATCGCCAGACAGGAACCTAAATGTGGATGGCAATATGGCAAGATCCAGATGAGAGGGTAGATCAGCATTGTCACGTGCCTATATAATGTCTGTATATTAAGGCTCGGCGGTATTCCAGTTTACCATCATTAAATTTAAACGATAGGAAAATGAGAAACTTCATTAAACTGTTGATGAGGAACATTGAGAGTACAGATCTGCCTATTAGATCATGGAAACTAATGCCGTTCCAACCAATCATACTGAAGTCTTTCGAAGGACAACTGATACCCAACAAATGCGCAGCAAAGTTGAATTAGCAGAGTGCGCCGCAGGCTGGTATAGTAATATCCGTGAGTCATGGGAGAGATCGGCGCTCCCTCAGAGGAAACTTCAGGTGTTGCTGAGCTGTTGCTTTCTTCACCATCTACACCATATTTTTAAAAATGAGATATTGTAGGTAAGGCACAAAGACCTTGGTTGCATGTGCTGTACTTTGGCAATTTAAAGTCTGGCACACAACACAGTGGTGCTGTGTACTGTAAACAAACTTGTGCCAACTAAAACTGGAAAAACGGCAAACTTTGTGCCACTTGATGCATTGCCATCCAGTAGACCATACAGAATACGACAGTTTACAGTCAGATACCAGTAATTAGGGGTTCCAGTTTCAATCTGAAGACGTATGAGACAGAGGCAGAAAAACAACTCAGCAACAAACAAACTATCGGCATCTTCTGCTGTTGCATCTTATCAGGGTTATCGTTAAAAACTGATAGTAAAACCTTTTTCGTAAACTGTAATTAAATGAGCGACAAAAGCTAAACTAAACTAAAACTATAAATATTGTTGCCAAAACTGACTGAAATTAAATAAAAGCAAATGTCAAATGCTTTCTCTTACCATTTTTAAATATTTTAAATGACCATTTATAATACCTGCAACTGTATCTTGACCATTTTGAGTGCATAATATACATTGCGTATTCATGTTGAATTCTTTAAAAAATAAGACACAAAACAGCATTCTAGTAATTGAAACTAAAATGTATAAAAACTAAATGAAAAATGTCGTTTAAATATAAGTTGTTAAAACCACACTAATGAAGCTGGATTTCAAAATTTGAAAATAATAAACCCTGCAATGGGTCTGTGTCCCGTTGTTCCCCGTCTTGCACTCGTAGCCTCCGGGACAGGCTCCAGACCCCCGCGGCCCTGAATAAGACAAGCGGTTTCAGAAAATGGATAGATAAATCAAACCTATAACTACGCTGCACCCTACGCCCAGTATTAGTATGATTTTTCTTTTTATTAGAATTTCCTTTTTCCAGTTCATTCATTAAATCTTTTTCATGTTCTGAATCTGTTTTTGGGAATTCTGAATATGATTTTAAACAAAGATGGAGCCCTTAAATTAAAGAAACAAAGACACGAATTGTCATAATTATCGACATTGACGGATATGAAAATAAATTGTGATATTTTGCCATATCGCCCAGCCATGTGTGCGAATAACTGGGCCAGTTGCTCAAAATCTTCCCTGAGTCCCATGTAACTTTATTTATTTATGTATGTATTTTTGTCTTTTGAATCATGCTATTCATTCAGCCAACAGTCCAAACAAGGTTAAACACCAGTGTATACAGTTGGTTGCCAACATGAGGATTAATATTTGGCTTAAAATGGGGCAGGTTGAGTATAAGCATCGCACATGAAGCTGTACCCAGAGTCATATAGACTGTGTGTTTCTGTGTTGTAGTCCAGTATGGAGTTTTAGGGTTTAGTATGTTTCAAGAATAAATAAGAAGGTCGTGACTGATTTATTTCTGCTGAAGGTTAAAATGGTTTCTTGGTGAAGTCCTTTTTTTGGAACAGCCGGAAAAAAAAACAGTTAAGGTTGTTTGCTAATAAGAAGCACTAAATTTTAAAGTGTATTTGTGGTGTTGTCAGGCATTTGTTGTTCTGGTTTGCTCCATTTGGTTCTTAAAATAATTCCTTATTTTAGGTAAGCGCTAAGATATTTCGCATTTCATTTCTCATAGCTCTTATTAACAATTCTAGATTTTAGTTTTTGGTTTAATATTATGTGTTTTGCCATGACCATATCAACATGCATCCTCTAGGATTGACAGTTCCTTGTTATCTCTGAATATAGCACTTCTGTAAATAACAGCGAGGGTGACACACACCAGCTTCATTTATAGGAGTCGCTAAATAGGCGTATTGTTTCTGCCCGTCAGTACGTGCAGCTGTGTGCATTAACTACAGATGTAGGGTTTGTACTTTGCCAGCTGTTTTACCCGCGTTAGACAGCAGGGGCCTGTTTCACAAAGCAGGATTACTTGCTTAGCCAGATAACTTGCCAGATTTAAGGTAGTCTGGGCTAAATAGACCTTATTTTCATCAGCTTACATTTAGCCCAGACTACCTTAAATCTGGCAAGTTATCTGGCTAATCAAGTAATCCTGCTTCGTGAAACAGGCCCCAGGTGTTTGGATGGGGGTGGGGGGACTGTTTTTTTTTCTTTCTTGGTATCGTTCCCCATTTGGGGATGCAGGTAACCCAGCTTGCATAAGACTGTCCTGGAACGAGGTCTCTCACTGGCCTCTCAGTATGTTCATGTCAGGTCGTCTTGCACTCCTTTCGGCCTGGTAGCTGTCCAGCGTCTTATAAAAGGTACACGACGTACTGAAGAGACCAGGCTTACAGCTGCAAACACTACCAGCATGTGAGCTGGGTGGCAAGGTTTTCACTTTGCATGAGAGCGATGGGCGAGGCAGTAGCTAAATTTATCCCTTAGGCAATAAATTGTAATATTTGCTTTCATCAATATATTTAAGAGATAATCATTGAGAGCAATTTTCCAATGTTCTGAGACTGATGGCAATAACACAGTGCAATCATACACTCATACATCTTTATTTTTCTTATAACACTGACTTGGACTGCAGTGAATAAAATGTCTTTCAGCTGGAGAGTATAAGGGCAAGAGGAGCTGATGCTTATTTCCTGACTTCCTCCCTCGATTTCAGGCTACCTGTGACGGCCCGCGAGAGAAGAAGTCTGACTGAGCCAGTCGGTGTGACCTCTGATTATCTCAGCCGCTCGCCTACCATCCTACTGCCGCCGCCCTACTGCTTTCATGCTGTCCAGGTGTTGCACTAAACAGCAACTGCACACCATTACCTTGGGGAAAAGTCCTTGTCCCTTTAGCCGTGTGAATCATTTGGTAGAATGTCTGACTTTTTTTTTTTTTTTTGTACTCCATTGTGTACAAATAAAAATATTGGTGGTTGGCTGCAACGTGTCATTTATTTGCAAAATAAAATTTGAATTTCTATCCTGGCTGGAAAGATGCAACGTACCCATTTCATACTGTTTGGTTGGCATTTGGTTTTTGGTCTTTTATTGTCCTGTCAGGAGGGTGTTAATCTTCTGTATAAAATGCTGGAGTCTTGACTAATGAGTCATGAGTGTGACTTTTTCTGGGACCTTTGTTGTTCCTCCTGTTCATGATGCTTTGTAATCAGCTGTCAGGTTTGTTTCTTTGTTTACCATGTTAATGTTTGCTATAATTTGTTGTTCATCTGTACAAACAAGTACTTCTCTGAAATAATTAAAATCAAAGCTTCTGTGGTTGTTGATAAAATGTTTTTTTTTTTGTTGATCTGCAACATAGGATGGCTATATCACCACACCGACAGTCCGTATGTCATCTGTGTGAGTTGACTGTAAAATAGCCCGCTGGCTTCGTTTTGTGATGAAGGCACGTAATTTTAAGAGTGGCAGTCTGTCATGGTGGTCATCTCATTGGATGTTTGGAGTGTGGGACTGTTTACTTGTGCACGTTCGTCACTTTCAACCTCTGTGGAAATCCTACACCAAAGCAAGCGGTAAAGTAGCAGCTGTCAGGAAGCTCCTTGGTGTTTTGTGCTGAAAGAGTACACCAGTAATGACACACCTGGGGCATGAGGGCATGTCCCCTTTTAGAATGGCTGGAAGACGATACCTAGGGCTCTTGCCCCGGCTTGCAGGACTTATAACATCAGCGGTCAGGCTGCCTTTCCACATGCGAGCGCTTCCTAGCTGTGCGTGGTACTGAGAAGTTGGAAAAAATTGGGACTCTGTTTTCCCACATGCCTATATGCTGTGGTCTACCATACTGTGATACAATAGGACGCTTTGTGTCATTTTCCATTGAAGGGTATTGATATAGATAATGTAGATCACTATGACTTAAGCCGGGATAGAGGGAAACATTGCTTGCATATGGGTTTGATGCACACTACTTCCTGTTCTCATTTATTACCCAGTGCTAGTCCGCTGTAAACCTGCTTTTAGTGGCATCAGTGCATACAAGCAATTGTCACCTTTAGTTATGCATACATAATTTTCTCTGGCATTGCTTCAAATCATCAACTTCATAGATGTCCGAACTCAGGCCAAACCACCACTGCTCTGGTTCTGAATGCATATATCCTGAACGAGCTGCTATAAGGCTCTGTAAGCGTCCAGCCAACTTCTGGTTAATTTTCATGTTGAGTTTTCTGCTTTGAGCCTGATTTTCTTTCCTGTTGTCGCAGGTATGGGTAGAACAGGATTTACTGCTTTCGTTTTTTGTCTATCTTGCATGCATTTTTTTCACTGCTTATAAAACAGCTGTTTTAATACAGCTGCCTGATAAGAGTTTGCAACAAATGCATAAAGGATTAACTTCGTGTCCCTGTTCTTCGTTTTGGCCTAGTTCTCATGTTTCATTGTACCATGACTCTGAATAGTTAGTTATCTTAACACAAGTACAAATTCTCCTTCAAAAAAAAAACAATTAATGATCTTCATTCTGTGTATATGCCCTTCAGAATGTCACGAATTTGCCGTAATTTTGCGTTTGCTTTACATCTGCCTGTTTGATGCTTTTCTACTTGGACTGTTGTGTTGTGATTTGCTACAAAATATTCACTGCTATTCAGGTGGATATTTAAAACAATAAGACCTGTAAGTCTTTGTAAAGCTTGTTAATAAACATTGATAATTTGATGCACATTTTCAATGTTGTGTAATATGTTAAAGCTTCCCACAAATCCGTTAAAATAAAAAAGTGTTTTTAGTAATCTTGGAGGCAGAATTGTTAATCTGAGCATTTTTTATCATTGAAAGTGGTAAATGCTGCTGCCTTGTTAATCCACTCTAAAGTGTGTAAGTGAATTCTGTGGATTGTGTTTGGATGGGCAGCACTGTGGCTTTGCTTCTTGGGTTTGTGTTCATGTGTGAGTAGGGTGTACATGCTGTGTTTGAGTGATTTTCCTCCCACTGTCCAAAAGCATGCAGCCTAACTGAAACAGCCCCTCCAAATCGAGCTTGTGAGTGCGTGCGAGCTTGATGCATGAGTGCGAGCTTGATGCATGAGTGCGTGTTCTGCACTGGACTGGCATTCCACCCAGGGTCTCCCCTGCCTTGTGACCTGTGATTCCTGGGAGAGACTCCAAACTAACCGTGTGACCCTGTCCCAGATACATTTGGGTGATGGATTTAATTTCACACGCCAGATACTTGTACGTGGGCTGTGTGTTCTGTGTGTCACTCGACACAGTTGTTACAGACCCAGAGTAATCATATGTATAATGGGCATGAATGGCATTGTTGAAGAGGTGGTTGAAGTTTAGGCTTCATCCACTAATGGCGGAGGAATGGGAGGTGTGTCTCTGCCCATTTCAAAAGCAGTAATAGTAGGGTGCCAACAAATCTAGACAAAATGCATTTGCCTAAGTGCAAAATTCTAGTTTCCATGCTGTAATCATAATTCAGTTCATAATCTCAGCCTCCGTGCATGGAGACCTGCTGTGTACCCAGAGGGCAGTCAGAGTGCCAATGCTGAACCCTGTCTACCGTCAAAAGCACCTAAAATGGGCATGCAAGTGTTGGAACTGGACCTTGGAGCAATGGAAGAAGGTCACCTGGTCCAATGAATCCCATTTTCTGTTGTATCACGTAGATGGCTGGGTACATTTCAAGCATCTGTGGGATGCATTGGATTAACAAGTTCGATCACAGTTCCATATGCAGCAGGGCTTGAACCCCTGTGTGTTGTGAGATGGTACTCAAGTAAGCTTCATCTAAATTATCTGCCATTGGTGCCACAGTGACCCTTCTGTGGATTCGTACCACACGGGGTAGCCTGTGTTCACATCTCACATTGACGAGTCTTGGCCGCCCAACACCATAGATTTTTCCTCCTCAGACCTCTCCTCTCTCGGTAGGGTCTCACCACAGCTGATAGTGAGCACCGCCCAAGCCATGTCCTTTTGGAGATGCTCTGACTCAGTCATCTGGCCATAATGATTTGGCTTTTACCAAAGTCACTCAGATCTTTACCCATGCATCCCAGACCTTGACACGCTCTATGTTTATAAGTCAGCATTATTCACTTCACGTAGGGTTGGTCATAATGTTTTGGCAAATGTTCATCAATGTAATTATGTTCATCAGTGAGACAAAACAAAATGAAGCCCTTAACTCCAAAAACTCCTCCAGGGCTAAAAGGCTGACCCTGCACTCTGTCCCCAAGTCTTCCTCTTACCTGTGTATGAGTTTCTGTGGGTAAATCTCATAGGAGAGCAAGTGGGCATATGTGAAGACTAAAGAATTCCTGTGTACTTGTCAAATACAGTATCATAATTTGAGACATTTTGTGCTCAGCTTCTCCTCTTAATTTCTCTTTTTGGAATAATTTTTTCAGAACACAATGCCTCCACTGTTGTTTCAAGTCTGAACTGGTGTCTGATCACCATGTTCTCTCTAAAACCTACAGCACGTCTGCTCTCACCTGTCAAGGCTGGAACCCTCTCTGCACCGTGTACGATACACTCCCAGCCTCCAAAGCTTGGCAGCCTCCCTGTTGACCATCTTTGAGGTGTACATCTCCTCTCCAGCTCCATGGATGGTTCTTAATCACCTCCTTGTCTTCATTATGGTTTTGACTGAGGTTTATGAGTGATAAGCCTCATGATAATAGCACTTACTTACTTCTGAATTTCAACAGCCACTTGTCCTACAGATCAACTAGTTTTCCTCTTACTTCATTCCTTCATCCTTTGCTCTTCACATTCTGCTCCAACCTACAGAGGTTCCATAAAACTACCATCTCCCGTCTTGCCTTCTTTTGTTGATGTGGCTGCAAGTAGCTTCTCCTGTTCCACAAAGCTGACAGAACTGGGCTGTCAGTCAGGATGCATGTATGCATGGGTGTATGCCACAGGACTCAACACTAAACCACCATGTAGGGTTGCCCCCCGTCCCTTATAATGCTAGATGATCCCGCACTGGAACATGTTGTGCCACGTCTTATATGGGACGATGTTGGTGACCCTACCACCATGCCACCCAAATTCATCACACAGGTCTTAATTGGTTAATAGTTTATCATTTTAGGGTTTTATTTAAGACATTTATAAAGGTCATATAAAGAATCAAGGTGACCAGATAATCCATGTCAGGAGGGATACTATGAGCTACTTCAGGTTTTACAAACTACTTTCAGAAGCTTGTGGCTGTAAACTTCCACCACACACATTACATTGTGAGAAGCTTTATACTTATTTTATTGATTAGCTGACTTCTTATTTATATGCAGCTTAAAACTTCAGCTTGATATTTTCTAAAGTACTTCAGGTTAAAAGTACATTGTCCTATGGAACTGCCATAGGATGTTGACAGTAGGCTAGTGGAAAGACTGAGGGAGGTGGGAGAGGCCATAGAGGAATTCCAGCAGGTTGCTGTACGATGTAGGACAGACTAGCTGCTTCACACCCCTACAGGAATAGACCGGATCAGCCTGGAGGCCGACAGCTAAACATAGAGTGTTGGAGCTCAGGCTTAGTGTGGCAGCTGTGAGTCAGTGACAAATGGCGTTTGTGTCACTGAAACAGTTCAGAGTCACTCATACGATCCCGCCAGTTCATGGAGTCCAGCATTAATGGAGAACCACTTATGTCCACACAATGCTAATGCAAACTGAAAACACTAGTATTCACTATCCCACAAAAACACGAGAAAGCACTCAACTAGATATATTTAATTTCTGAGAGACCTCACACAACACTGACAGGTGATTCTCTTAGATTTTTTATTGCTATTTGTTATTTCAGTTAGGGTGAGTGAATTAACACATAGTCACAGTGGTCTCAAGCATGAAGCCCTTTGTACAAGGATAAAATCAATGGAACACGTCAATGTCATTAACTTGATTACACAGATACCACTACGCTTTGACACTAAATACCATGAATGGAAGACTGAATTTATAATACATTTCACATGATTGAACAATGAATCAAAGCACAAATCTAAAACATTTCATTGTGAGTTAATTTCTTCGTCATCAGTGCCGTTTCATTTTTCTAGACAGTATCTGCATCCGAAGTTTGTGGACAGGGGGTACAGTTCTGATTCCAGTTACCAGTCAGGTTATCATTTCACCAGCCTGGATAAGCTTATTTAAACTTTTAAATCATATATTTCTGCAACAGAATTGATGTATAACTATTGTCTATGATCAAACACAATGTTTAGAGTAAGGCTATGGAAAACAATTTAGACAATAGGCTGATATGTAGAGTTTTTAAGGAATATTCTGTATACTGACTCCATCACTAGCACTCAGCACGTTGCCCTTAACCATTCACACTGAAAATTGTTGGGTTCACACTTTTATATATTAATCTGATCATTACATTATGAAAGTGGGCAATTTTCATGAAGAGCATTGCAGACAGAACTTGGAGGTTATCAGTTTATTTCCCTTAAACAAGGTACAGTACTTAACCAGAAATTCTCTGCTGTTTGAAATGGGAGAATATCAGTCACTGTGCACAAAAGCATTAGCTTGAAGAAAGTAACCTTTCGGTCACCTGAGGACAGAAGATACTGTCAAGAACTATTTGGCAGAGCACAGAATGAGAGCACGCGGTGTTGATAGTATACATTTCAGTTTATGTTTCCTTTTAAATATATAATAGCTAAGTATTCATTAATTAAGCTGCTTGACCAACCCAGGCTACTATTTGGTCTGCAAGGACAAAGTATGTAAAAACAGAAAAGTGTGACACAAATCTCTATGCACCAGTATTTGCCTTAATTCCAAAAGTCAAATAACAGGTACTCAAATCCATCAGAGTGGCACATAAGTAACAAACTGCGAATGAAAGCAGACTGATAGTCAGTAATACTTCGAGGGAATGTTAATTCTTCCAAAAAAACAAAAATAGTTTTTGTATGTGTGTGAGATAAAGAATATGAAAAACCTTTCTCAATGAGAATTTACAGAGACGACACAGTATTGCTGAAAAATTTATGTGCCAATATCTGCCAAAAATACGACGTAGAAGTATGCATCCTTTAAGATTGTATTTTATTTTAAAAAATGCATATCTTTACCCTTAAAAATGACTCCTAATTAAAAATTTGGTTAAAAAAAAAAAACATTTTAATGTCACATTGTTGAGAGACACTGAATTTTTTTTCCTGTCAAGAATTCTGGAACACAGCTCTGAGTGGCCTGGGGAAAACAGTGAAATACAAAGAAAAAAACCTAACATCCACATGTCTGGCCATCATTACCAAAAAGTACATGGTATAATGTACCAGCCGTCCCTTATTTACCCTCGGATCCCTGGGCAGAGCACACTGCAAGGTGCAATTTCCTCTCATCATGTTGCAACTCTGCATCAAACTTTCAATATAATGCACACAGATATCTATATCTATCTATATATATATATATATATATATATATATATATATATATTATATATATATATATATATATATATAAGCAAAAAAGCCATCACAAAATAAATCTATTATTTTACAATAAGTGAAACATGAACTGTTATTCTAACATGATTAAAATGTGCTAGCAAGATTATTTTACAACAAGTAATGTACAAATGTAGTGGATTATTTTCCATGGACCTAAATTCCATTCTACTTTTATGTCACAACAACTATGATGTAGTTCTTATGCGCTATTACTGACGGCAGAATTCCCACAGGCAATAGCTAGGGCAAACCCTACGGGGACTTGCAACATATTTGGCTTATTTGACAGATGGGCCTAGACTTAAGACAAACAAGAAAAGTTTGGCATTTACTTATCAACCGTCTTAGAGAATTGGGTGAGAATAAGTCTTCAGTGGTAGAGGGAGGCCACATTTTCACCAACACAGGCCACAGGACTCAGTTTGGTAGCTTCCCTTTCTCACCCATAGACTTCTGCCTGCTTATCTTCCGAAACACCTCCACTTCTGACTATTACTAAATGACCATTAAACTTTGCAGAAACAACCAAATTTGAGCACTTTACTGATTTATCTGTTTTTATCTGATTTATCTGTACAGATTATTTCATTTACCGCTATTCCTTCGGCTGATTGTCCTCAAAGTCATCCCTGGAAAACAATTTTTGTGGAAAAATCCACTAATATGTACACATTCATTCAGTACCAACTGGAAAGGAACATGCCTTTGAAGGATTTCTTAGTAGGAGGAGGTTTCCATGTTTGCATATATTTGCAGTAGGATACTGAATTGGCAAATAAAATATTGACTGTGGCAAACAACGCCCCTCCCCACCCCAACCCCATGAAACGTCAAGCAGCCAGAGATGGAGCAGCCACCTCCTTTGGCACTGCTATGGGGTCAGCGGGCGAGCGACATAGGGCTCATTTCCTGTAAACATTCAAGCTCATTCATCAAGTGCATGTGAGAAACTTGGCAACACTGAGGGCATCACCACAAATGTTGGCATTTCGTGATATATTTTATTCGTATGCTGGCTCATCATTTAAAGGCTTTACATAAAGGCTGTTTAAAGTTGCGCTGAATCGTGATTGTAGGCAAATTTTTAGTTATTTGTATTGGAACTGCAAATTGTATTACAAATCAAAAAGTATCTGGAATAAAGGCAGTTCCAGAGTGATGACTATATGTCATTTTATCAGATGATCCCCTTATCGACTGGGGTCACACACAGCAGGATTATTTAAAAGTTTTTATTTGATCACCAGCCAGAAAAGTCCTAATCCTTAGTTTACCGATTAAGTTCTAGCAAGGGGACCCGTTCTTCTCTCCCTTGACAAACCCCTCTGCAGTCCTCTGAGCGGAGGAGGGACGGCAGTGAGGTGAGCGGCGGCAGCCTGTGAGAACTCTGCCATGCGCTGTGGGGGCCAGCAGGGGGCCCCGGTTTGGGTTTGGTGCTCTTCAGAGAGGGGGGAGGACACGGCCCAATAAAAGATCCGAGCAACCACTTGCGCCGCATGCCCTCCCTCCTAAGACAAGGGGCTGAAGAAGCGCACATCAGGTGCGTCTAATGGGTTTTTGAGGAATGAGGAAAGCGAATTTTATAATACTATAGTATTGGTTAGGGTCAGGCACATGACATTGGCACCTTGTCTTTAGGGGGGAGGGTACTCCTATATGTTGGATAGTTCAGGTCCAGAAGGTATTAATCCAGATCAAGATTTTGTTTCAACCAACCAGTTGAGTACTCTGTGACTGTGACTTTTTAATACTCAACTGGTTGGTTGAAACAAAACCTCAGTCTGGATTTTTACTTTCTGGACCTGAGCTATCTACCTCTGGTAAAGACACCGCGTCTACATGACACTCTCAAAGACGATGACCTTGTTGTCTTCAGCACCCGATGTGAAGGATGCCAAGCTCTTCACGTCAGCATCTGGGGCCATATACTCCAGGTGGTGGGCTCCCCAGACTGGTTTGGTCAGGTGCTCCCACCGCTAAAAAGGAAAGTGAAACCGTCAGTGCAAAGCAGAGGTGAAGCATGGTGTGACATCAGCTTGGGAAATGCAGTGAAAGTACTTGAAAAGACAAAATTGTTTACATCACAAGAGAGTATAAAACAACCAAGAACATGATAAACAAATAAGGTATTTTCAGCCTGGACTATATAGAGAGTCCAGTATTCCAAGCCAGATAGGCACAGTATGGAAAAACTGAGTTATTCTACCATTTAAGTAATTCATTTGGGACTGTTTTTCATAGTAGCTCTCTGGGGACTCCTCCTTAAAGCAGTGCAGGTTGTTACCCATGTTTCCCACAATCCAGCTTTCCATAAATTGTTTCTTTCCTAAAACATCGTTTGCCATTTTTCCCATGAGATGTACGGCCATAGACACCCTCCCCCAATGTCACGACCTCTGTCCATTTTACACTCCATTTATAAGTAAAACTATATAAATGAATCCAATATACACATTTTAAATGGAGAGCAGCTATTCTCAGTGGCTGTGATATCACAGTCATCTTTCCTGGGAAAGCTCCCCAGAATCGGACTTCTACTCATTCATGTCATACTTGATCTGTGGCTAAACTGTTAGCTTCCGAAGATTCTGAAGGATTTCACCAACCTCTCTGAAGGAGCCCTTGGCTCGGAAGAGCTTGTAGACCAGGCTAACAGGTATGCAGAGCATGGAGGAAAGCGCCATACACCATCCAATCACCTCTCCCCACCATGGATACACATACGCGTTGTTGTAGGTTAGAGGCTTGTAGTTCAGCAGATGAAACAGGAAGATACCCTTAGAAGAAGACAAATCGAAACCTGAATAACGGCTGCGAATATTTTGCAAGAAAACCACTGTTCATCTATGGTATGTATTTTAGCTTGCCATTTAAACTCCAATTAGCATATCAGGCTCCATGTCAGTATAGAAAGTTAATTGTCTAGCTGAGAAACACCTTGACAAAGATTGAGATCACATGCAGATCGGTTTCTTACCATGCAAACACATGGAGTAACAAAAGACCAGCACCACTTCATCCAAGGGAAAGGTCGGTACCCGATCATACGAGCGACGTCATCCATAAACCTATCAGCACCTGTTAACCGCAAGTCAGCCTGTTTAACACCAGCGGGACCCCAGGCAGCATTAGCGGTACACTGATCAGCCACAGCTTATCTTCGGCTTTGACCTCAAATCCTTCTACTGCTACCATTTACTGGGAATGTTATATTTTTCATAATCTGTTCATAATGGTGTGATATGTATCATATATCTGGATCACTTGGATAACTACAGAAATTTGGCATAATGCATAGCTGTATTAAGCCATGAATAGCCTGACTCTCCAGGTTCAGATTACTTTAGCCTGAGAGCTTGGGCGTTTTTGGCATTTCCCAACTCACTCTGCACAAAGATAATGAAACAAAACAGAGCTCAAATAAACTAGATCTGACTTAAACTTAGTGATGCTGTTAGTGACACATGGAGGTTGCTCAAAATCAGGAGCAGCATTTAAATTTTTTTTATTTTGCCACTAGATCTCAATGTATCACTTGTACTGTGTGGCAAAATTTACACGAGACAACTTTGGAGAAATCAGCCATTGGGGACATAAAAAGCCAGCAGAGAACTTAAATCACTGTTAATAATAACAAGTTTATTTAAAAAGCTTTTTTCTTGTTTTTTGTATTATGTTTAGAAAGCAGATGTTCAGAAGCAACTATCAAATGTTTTATTTTATATACTATATTTTATATACTTTAATTTGAATGGTTTACAAAATACAGAAGCACAGAGGCCCACAGAGACACAGCATGTGATTTCCATCAACTCACCATAAACCCAGGCGACAACAACGCATTCCCAGAATGCCTGCCACAGTAGGGTCATACCACTGGCTGAATAATAGTCAAAGAGCTGGAAGACATACATCCCCCCCTGTGGGCAGAGACAGCAACTCGGTCAAAATTAAACCAACTTGGACAGTTCAATAGAATGTAATACATAATAATTAACCAGTTCTATGACTCCTACCCCCAAAAAGACATTTACATTTATAGAGTGTAGCCATTCATGGTCTAACGACAAATAAAATGCGCATTAGACTGTCAGCCAAGGTCTCTACAACAGGTTGGGTGGTTAGATTGAATGAATTACTTAAAACAGAATGGAAATACATCATGTTAAAAGAAATTAAGAAATACAGATAGTTTTACCCAATTTTAAAGCAAAGAAGGCATGTGATGACAATGCAGATGAAAAACTGCTGAGCTTATATACATTTTAATAGATTCCAGCCGATGCTGTGAATTGGGGCATCTTACCTGTGTAACCATGGAGAGATCAATTATGAAGCATAATAAACAGCAGATCGCCACTGCGATTTCCCGCTGGTAGCGCATGTAATACTTCCCAGGAAACAGATCCAGGATCCCAGTTACAAAACCTTCAACCCCGACAAACTGGAGAAAAAGATTGAGCAGGAGAGTCACAGGCTGTCATCGCTTCCACAGGTTACACTGCTAATGGCAGATTTGGTTTATTAATATGGTGTGACTGATATCAGCGAGATTGATCCAGGACGAATGACGGTGGCACACAGGCTGACCTGACTATCAAGTCCTAGCAGAAGGAGCATGAAGAAGAAGAGAGCTGCCCAGAGCGGGGCCACGGGCATCAGAGACACTGCCTTGGGGTATGCAATGAACGCCAAGCCAGGGCCTGCGGGAAGAGAAGCTGAGGTGAGAGGGGCCACTGTACAGGCCTGCGGGGGCCCTCAGCATAGACACTCTGACACACGTTTGTACGGCACAAAGTGGGACAGAGACAGAAAGAGTGAGAGAGGGAGAGACAGAAAGACAGAGTGAAAGAGAGGGAGAGACAGAAAGACAGAGTGAGAGGGAGGGGGAGATAGAAAGACAGAGTGAGAGGGAGGGGGAGAGAGAGAAAGAGACAGAAAGACAGAGAGAGTGAGGGGGAGACAAAAAGACAGAGAGAGAGAGGGAAAGACAGAAAGGCACAGAGAGAGAGACAGTGAGAGAGAGAGGGAGAGAGAGAGACAGAAGGGCACCTGAATGTTATATTATGTTAACGTGCACAAACTGATGTGACAACGAGGAGGGGGAGGGGTTAACTAATCTCTTTTAAGCGTTGGTCATTAGTGTGTGTTTGTGAGCCTCCATCCATGCAAGAACTGGCTGGGTTAGTTAGGGTTACTGCTTAGTTTCCGAAGTGCGCACATCGGTGGTGTATTCTGCGTGTTACCGATAGTTCCTCATTAAAACTATACATTAACGTTATTTTGTTAGTCGGATCTCCCTTTTAACATGACCAGTAAGACTGAAGCCAGAAAAAAACCCAGTCAGTTTGACTTATTAGTGGCACAGAGTTACAGTACAGTGATTTGGGGTTTCCCAGATGTACACTGCCAACCAAATAGCAGACCTTCAGCTCTATGGGGCACTGGATCCAACGTGGCTCACGCTTGACCAAGTTTAAACTGTGAAGGTTTAAACTTGTTTCAGCTTACGTTGCTAATAGTGTGCACTTATTGCAATCATATATATGAGACCTATTTTTGGAAGTTCTCCATGGATATGCGACCCACGCTTTATACTGAGGTAAATGATGCACCCGTGTACAGTGTGCAAGTTGTCACCCAGTCTGACTTAAACGAAACACTGCAGTTTGCAAAGAGGAGAGATTATATTCCAGTTCAGACTTTCACATTATTACCCATTTTATTATTATGAAAAGTGAGAGCAAAGTTTTATTTGAACCACCAGCTGGCAAAACGTAAAGTGATACAGAATAATATTGAAATAATAAAACAACAGGTTAAAAAAACACTAACTTATGGTTACGGCCTCAATTTAGGAACCTAGGCTGATCTAGCAAATATGGTCCACGCATAAATTGAAATAAAATAAAATAGAAAAGTGGTTTGACAACAAGTAACACGTAAGTGTTTCTTGGTGCAAAGGCATAAATTTCATGTTTTATTACTATATAATCATATAATCAGCAGCAGATAGCTTTGTGGTTTTGTGTCTGTTTATGCTGAGCTCATATAATTGAGAAATATTTTGTTAGTTTTAGCCACAAGTTATTAGATTTTACACTGTTGGGGTCTAGTACTGTTAAGCTTGGATATTTGTGACTACGTCTTCTGAATGGGCGGTGTGTGGTCTGCCTCTGTGTCTGTAGCTATCTCGCTGAAGTTGTAGAAACGGTCACTTGGATTAACCCGTATTAAGGTGTGAATACTGTCATTAGATAACAGATCTTTACCTGCTGCAGCTGTCAGCTCCAGGACCCTCTTGAAAGCGAGATGTGCACATCTCAAGAGGCAAAATTCCTGGTTAAATAATCCTTAAATTAATATTTAAATAAATTGAAAATATAGATATATAGAGATATAAATAAACGAATAGATACGAATCACAAGGCAGATATAAAAAGAGGACTGAAGAAAAAAATCAACGAAAATCCTGTTAAAAGGATAAAACAGTTTATGACGTTACAGGGGACTCGTCCTTTTGCATCGATCCTGCATATAACATAATCTAAAGAGCTTTTAAAAGTGCTAAAAAAAAATGAATGAGCAAAAAATGGACGTTTACTACGTATAAAATAAGCTTTAATATAACCTAGAAAAGTAAATGAGCAGTCAAAATCTGGTTAAGTCATTCCATTACTGTGAAGCATCAGCAGTACATCACTCACCTCCTGAAATTAGTGCTACAGGTAATTTCATCTACAGACCACACACCATGGCAGATTTCAGCACAGGATACACAGAGTGCGTTCATTTATACAACATTCACCTCCTGAAAACAGTGCCACACGTACCTTTATCTATATACCACACAGCTGTCTAGACAGAGTACATTCACCCACAATACACGGACATTTGGACAGAAGCACACAAACAAGCACGAAGACACACCAACACCACACGTAGTGTTTCTTGGCCCCCAAGTAATCAACAGTCACTGCAATTTTCAAAATAATCACCCCAAACTATTTTACTAAAATTTTTATCAAACTTGCAGACGCGCAGTCAGTACCTTACATGAAAGTCGGATGCTTAAGAGCAAATTTGGATTGTTGTCCCCTCTAGATTTGGGTCTCTGCACAAGGTACTATGACGTACTAGGTAGTATGAGGTACTAAGCTTCAGCAGCCGGAAGCTTGTATAGATGGCAAGGGGTTTGTATTGAGACAAATGGTGGAGGTCAGACAACCAGCTAGCTTTGAAATATAATGGCACGAAGCTTGTCGTTCTTGTGAAAAGGACAGCGGGTGCTTTGGTGCAGCTTGTGGGGCCGAGATGACGGAAGCGGTCCGTTTCTCACTCAGGGACGCTGCTCCCTCACCTGTGCACCAGTCACGCTTCGAATGTTAACCTCGACAGATAAGGGCCGATGGGTAAGTGTGGCGAGTCGGCCAAACATAGCGAGAGCCAGCAAAGTATCAGCAGGCTACACCTGAATGACCGTCACTTACAAGTCAAATGCTACAACCTTTAACACAACCTTTAACACAACCAGAGGAGTACAAAATGCTGAACACTGCACACTCCGGTACTGTGATTTCATTATGAAATAACTACTTTAGATCCCATTCCATATGTTGTACAATGGTAAAATCTGCATGTAATATAAGTATATACTATGTAACTATGTAATATAAGTATGTACTATGTAACTATGTAATATAAATCATATCCAGCTGAATTTGTATGGCCTTGAGACTAAGGGAGGGACAGGATCCAAGTATACAAAACTGTAACAGGTTTAGATGCTGCTCATCCAAATTGTTACTTTGAAATAAGTTCTAATTCAAGAACTAGTGGGGGAACACTTTAGTTTAGTATAGAATAGTCTGCCCGGCGGGGAAGTGCAAGCTAAGACCCTAGATTCCTTCAAATCTGAACCTGACAATATCCTGCCAACTTTAAATGATTAGTTTAATCGCCTCCAAGCGAGCTTGATGGGCTGGATGACCTCCTCTCGTTTGTAACTTTCTTATGTTCTTATAACAAAACATAATATAATTTCCCCATGACCCTAACCAGGATAAACATGTGCATGATGGCCTGATAGATTTACTGTGCATGTCTGTGCCTTGTGATGAAGTCACATTCTGTCCAGGTTCTTCTGCTTTGTGCTCTGTGACCCAGAGCAGGATGGAGGGATGATTTCTAAGGATCATTAAGTATGTAGAATCACCTCAACATGCATTTGTAAATAACAAGTTAAGGGAAGAAAGTGTGATACAAAATATGCTGGATATAGGTATATAACACTAATCCTGAAGAGACATATGACTCATAGAGGGAATTCTCTGTGTAACTCATGGAAAGTGTTTCAGTCGCTGGTCCATTACAAAGCCTAAGATTCTCTGCACAGAAGTTTAGGTTAGAGAAAGCATCCTGAGGTTGGCTCACAGGGACTTCCCCCAGCATCAGTCACTGGCAGGAGTGTCGGAGGGGCATGGATACCCTGGCAGACTTAAGGGGTCCCCCAAACCTACCAGCTCCCCCCCCAACCCCGTAAAGTTCTATGTACCAAGAAATGTGTATTTCTTCAGGTTGAAAGTGAAACTGCCAATTCCCTTAAGCTGGGGGGGGGGAGGGGCAAGGTGACATTTTGTCAGGGGGCACAGAATTCCTAGTTATGCCCCTGGTTACTGGGGTCCTGCTGAAACTAGAGGGGAGAGCTTTCTTCAGAAACTCATACTGGTAGGAATGTCAGTCAGTGTGACCAGAATGGGATTAAGATACATGTATAAAAACACACTCCTCCGAAGCTTTGGTCAGAACTATCAGGCATGGCCTGTCTGATGTTTATTGTTCTGCTGTTAGCAACCAAATTATTTGGAACTAGAAGCAGGACCAGTTAATGAAATATCAAGATATATCTTGGGGTATTCATTCAGAAACGGCAGACCTCTACCAGCTCATAACAACAAATACTCTGGAATTCCACTGCTCACATGCACAGTGAGTGACACTCAGCAACAATGTTTTACGTACATCATGCTTGTCAGCGATAAAAAAAAGTTATTCTGATTCCGAATGGTGATTGGAGGGGGTATGAATGTCCTGCTTTTATATCATCTCCAACTATAGCAGGCAGGAGTGAGGCATGCGAGAGGCTCAGGTTGCATTCAACTCTCCTCCAAGGACATTGAGGTTCCAGTTCTTGGAAAAGTAATGTGGACTCCACAAACTGTTCATGCGGTTATTACACCTTACGCTCCTTAAATATAATGTACAGCCCATTTATAGTTCTGCATTACGAGAAATGGAAAATGCACAGTTATAGGAAGGCACAAATGTACGAATCATCATGAGGAAGCGTGTCATACTGTATGTTGTACTGTAAGATGTACTGCATGCTGTGAAAACCACTGGAAATCCATGACAGGTAGAAGGTAAATACGTGGGATTGGTTTCGCAGCTCTAACAAAGTGGCAAACGTGGCCCGTCCAGCACAGCGTAAACAAATTAGAATCACTGCCCAGAAAATGATTTCCCAGGGGAAGGTCCAGCATTCTGGAAATAGATTAGCGTACTGTCCTCGAGCCCGGGTAATTAGTGACATTTAACCTGGCTGTGGGTTAGGCTGCCACAGGTAGTGGTGTCTAGCATCAGAGCCAAATTAATGGAGAACAGATTCTCCTCAACCTCTGCCTGTGACGCATATGTTTAATGAATTATATAATTAGTAGCAATTCGAGATTCATTCAGGAGTAATACATTAGTAGTGTTTTGATGTCTAAAATCTGCTCTATCAGGACAGAACAATCTCATTCGGACACAGATGCCCCTACGCCCCCCTCTCACACTGCTTCCAGACACTCCCACACACACAAACAGACAAACAGACAGAAAAACATTCAAGATTGTCCACTGCTCAAATTACTTTGTCTTTCAGAAAATGTAAAAAAGCTGCATTGAGACGTGATGGTTCCTCATTCCAAATTACTTTAAAGTTTTCATTTGAATTATGCCAAGCTGGTTCCATAGTACTGATATTGAAATACACCATTAATTCATTCTAAAAAAATGTCAGTTTAAGCTATAACTTCAATACTTCCTTTGAATTCAGTATTTTAATGCAACAAAAACAGATATTTTCCAATTATGTGTTATGAATGAACGGATAAAGTCAATAGTTCAATATTCCCATACATAAACACATATGTATTTTCAAGTGTATTAGATAATTACTGCGCAAATTAGACTTTTAGACTGAAATTTTATGTTAATCTAGCAACAATATTCTGAGATACTTGTCCCACATAACTCTAAATTGCCAAAAATAAAATGTCACATTACATGACTTACATAAGACCAAGCTTGTAACCTGGATCAGAAGCAACTAAGAGAATTTTGACTAAATTAAATTAAAGACACACAATTTATCTATTTCTGTAGGTGTTACATTCAACATTTAGTAAAAAAGAATGGCTAGGCATTTTAGTAACATGTGTACAGATTGTGTAAATATCTCCTAAAAAGTGACAGGTTTGAGATTATTGTCTGTGCAAAACCGAGCTATCTTCCCATCTGGAAATTAGAAGGCATTTCTTAATCTGACACAAACAGCAGGAATTCTTCAGCACGTGTGAAGAAAGGAGCTTGCTAAGTACCTGATTCCGCAACTTTGGAAATATCCACTCCTTGCTCTGATGCCATGAATCCCAAGATGGAAAAGACCACAAAACCAGCAAAGAAACTGGTTCCACTGTTGATCAGAGCAAGTACAAATGCATCCCTGTCCAACAGAGAATGAGAGAAAATAAGATAGTAAGTTTGGTTACACAGATAAATTAGACAGATAAATGAGATCAAAATCAGTGAGGGAATAGATTTCAGCACATTTATGGTTACAACTCTGTAGCCACTGAAACTTATACGTTGTAAATTTCTACTTACCATCCAATAATATTTGAATGTTTTAAGGCCACGCTCAAGTGCTAATGCTACCTTGGGCAATGGCTAGGGGCGTAAAACCAAGTATGTCTTGTATTATGGATATTTAAAAACAACTTTGTAGAAGATATTCAGGGCCATATAAGGGCAAGGATGATTGTCTGCAAATAACAATATTATACTATTGTTTAAAATTAGCATATTAATATCATCATAACATAATTGAATAGTAATACTTTTAGGGATGTTACAACCCAGGTTAGGGCTGTGTGTTAGCAGAATGGCTTTAGACAATGAGGGAAACAACAGACAGCAATCAATATACAGTATTTCGGTGGTGTTATATTTTTTACAGTGATAACGGACAGACAATAAATGTGAATGAGAAAGACAACAAATATGCTAGTGACAAGCTTCGGGAGTGACCCAGGCCAAAATCACTATTCCTAACTCCCAAGCTAACACAACACAGAGCGAAAGCAAAACGGCAGCCACCAGATTAAAAACAAATAGTGTTTACAGAAATATTCAAAGCGAAGGTATCATGGGAAATTGAAGTCGTAATCTAAAACAAACAGTCCAAATTTCCGAAACTGCGCAATAAAATAACCGAAGCAGAAGCACCATAGAGGGCAGACAAGAGCAAACCCCAGAACACAGTGCAAGGTTGACCATTGAAATGATAGACGATCACAAGAACCAGCTGGGATGTTGCCTTGTAGGCGGTGGCAAGTTTGGAGGACACAGTAAACAGGAACAGTAAGGGAAAACATGGGCACCGGATCAATGGAATGGACTGCAGTGGAATGAAGTGAAAGTGGAACGGAATTGACGAGGACACATTGCAAACACACAACTGCACACAGCAGCAGGGAACTGGGAGTGATTATAAGCTTCCAGAGAACTGAGGCTGGCTCAGAGGTCTGGGACAGCTTTGGTTCATCTAGTCCTGTCGCTGACACGCTTCTCTTAAGAACATCTCCTTATTTTTTTCATCCATTTTTAAACCAGGTTCTTTCTCACATCTCTAAGGATTTACCCGACAGAACAGACAGTCATGCTTGCCTGGATTGCCTGTTCCCAGTCATTTCCACACATAATGCTAATATCTCCAAGATAATATGGAGCTCCTTTGGAAAAAAAGGTATTCCTTTGCATTTACTGTAATTTGCTATCCTGTCAGGCAAGACCTTTTTTATGAGCCTTGCCATGTTGATGATTTGTGGGCTGTTATTTTAACTGCATGCTCTTGTAATCTGGTACCAGGTTTGGTTTATCGGTCTGTGATCACATTTAGGATCAAATGTGATGACACTGTAATCTTGAGCAACTTCCATAACTCATCTGCTTAGTAAGCACTTCTGTCAAAGGTAACATTACTAACTTATATAAATTCAGGACATTTGTCAAGGGTATGATCACAGGACCAAACATTCGCAGGATCTAAACCTGTTCGCCCAGTTCATTATCCGTTAGGCATCCAGCCACACATGTAAGAGGCACAGTGAACAGCAGCGGTCACATGCAAGGCCCATTTTACACATTATGTCTATTTCCGGAACTGGTTACAACATGTGGGGGGGGGGGCTTTTTAACGCTACTTACTTATAGCAGTCGTTGTTAAATCTGTTATAGCTGCCCAGGGCTGTGAGAGCGCCAAGCCCAATCGCGTAGGAGAAGAAAATCTGTGTGCCGGCGTCTATCCAAACCTGCAGGAAAGGAGAGGAAGATCACCTAACCTGCTTCACATTAAAACATCACATCACATTTGGACATCACATTGGAAAGGGAAACATTTGGTCATCTGGAATTTATGCAATATATATGTGAAGAATGTCAGTGTCTATATATAATGAAGTTGTTGTGAGAGATTTTCATGAGCATATAAGTATATGGAAAGGTTAAAATAAGACAGACATTCAACATTTTTGCTCCCTTCCAGCTCCCAGTAGGGAGAAAAAACGTGGATTGTCTTTAGGTCCCTGATGACGGCAGGGGGTAGGGGGGCACAAACGTGGGCCATCTGTGGGTTGCTGAGGACCAGGTTGGGAGACACTGCTCCAGAGTTCACTGTGAGCCACTGAAGTTACTTTGAATTTAGCAAATAGATCTACATCCCGTGACTGGGGTCCTTTTTGAAAGTCCGAGGTGCTGAATGGGCCTCACCTGAGCCTCGCCCAGTTTAGACCAGTCAGGCTTGACGTAGTACATAATTCCATCATAGGCGCCAGGCAAAGTCACACCTCGTACCAGTAGAATGATAAGAACGACGTACGGGAACGTGGCAGTGAAATACACAATCTTAGGGGAACAAAAGAGAAAGGAAAAAAAAAGTGAAAACCTTCTAAGTGACAAATACAGCTGAGTACAGAAACACTTAAAGTAACTAGATTGTCACTGTACATAACAGTTACGATTATGATTACAGACCTAATATCTTAACATGTTAATTTACAAAAAAAAGGAATAAGAATAATTATGCAGTGATCACTTTGACGTTAAACTAACAATCGATTTGCAAATTACCTAATGATTCACTGGAGAGTAACACCCACTTACTGGCATTCCAGTAGGGTGTACCCTTGTCTTGTGCCCAGTGCTGCCTGGGATAGGCTCCAGGCCCCCACCCCATTAACCCTGACCTTGATAAGCCATTGGAATAATTCCCAATTGCCTCATGACTTATACATTGATTTTCAAACTTCTAACAGTTGTCCAACGTTTATGACTAAGCTCACAGAAGCGAATAAAGCTGCGGGATGCCTTTATCTAATCTCTGGAATATCCAAACACACCGAACCTTGAACCTGCAGCAATCTGAGTGGCCGATAGCACCAACACACTGGAGGACCGCAGCTGTACTGTTAAATCTCGCAGCATGCCATTTTGCCTGACTTTCACTGCGCTGCCGTTCGACACGCATGGAAATGTGGCTCTGTGGATGGCTGCCAAGTCCTTTCACGGCGAGCTACAAAGCCATATCATTATCATTCACCGACAGCGGCAGTCGTCCTTGCCACTCAGCAGCCGGATGTAATCTGAGTTTGGTGTGAGGAGTGTGTCCCCCAGAACACTGTTTCAACTGAGGACCTACTCATTCTCCTCCATGCCCCTGCTGGCTAGAGACGGCTGCTGTACATAAGTCAGACACTTGTGCTATGTACATCTCTGTCAAGCACATTTGATTGATAGTGCCCCATAGTGTGGTCTACTCTGTCCTACTCTGCACTAGTCCCAGCATCACTGCTGCTAGAACAGCACACTAAAGCTGCAGCTCTGGTAATCGCATCTTCATATTAAAAAGGCGGGATTTCGAAATGAACACAAAACGTAAAATCCTCCTTGTCTTGAAACTGGAGGACAAACCAAAGTTATTGTTTTCTTGATAATGGACACAGACCCGCTCACACGCTGGCTTTTCTCAGAGGGCGTGTGTCACGTTCACCACAGCATCCAACATGCCGTCGATTCGCCACATTGACACGCCTCATTCGTAACTAAGGGCGATTTCACGGCTGGGAAGAGCAACGACAACACGACTAAGGAAAACAGTGTGGGAATTTTATCCCAGGAGAGAATCATGTCATACACTTTTTAGCTAATGGGCACATTTCAATAATTTATTCCAGACAGGAGCAAATAAGTTTCTCTTTAAGTGACATATAGTGCAGTGAAAACTTAAATCAATGAAGCAAATTCGTTATAAATGGTACTAATGGTCAGACGATGCTAAACAATGACTGTTTAATAAATACATCATAAATCAGATTTGATGCTGCCCCCACCTCCTGACTAGAACAGGGCTATTGTCACGTCTCACTGCAGTCCACCTATCACTGCCCACCAATCAGATGAAGCAAGGGAGGGGGACACGTTAAGGTTTGACATCTACACCCTCCCTGCTAATGAAGTTGCTACATCTGTCCTTTCCTCCCCTTTATACTTTATTTGAATCATGTTCTGTTATATCAGTTAAATTACCCCAGCAGGTGGCTCGAAAGGGCAAGGAGACTGAATGTGAAACAGGTTTTGGTTTCAAAGAAGCATTTTTTTCTTAGATCTGCCACACCTTTGGAATAGTATACCCTAATTATAATTCCAAATAATGTTATATTTCAGTGACACGAAAATGTATAACATAAACAAATGATGGAATGTCAAAGGGAAAATCTTCAAAAATAATAAGGAAAGTTGAAATATAACTCTCTTGAAATACTATATGTTTAAACCAGTATTTTGTTTCAGTGTTTTGGGAGACATTACGTTTCTTTCACTGACAGAACAATGCATGAATCTGAACTATCAAGTTCTCAGATGAATGTAGCGGATTTCAGCAGATGCTGAGGGTGTCTTCTGTCGAGTTAAGAGGCCCTAATTTTTTACTCTTATCATGACTGCAACTTTATTAAAATTTTCCAGACACTCTTACCCCGAAGAAAGGCGAACACTTTAAACTTCTGGCGTTCACTGGATGTCAGTGTAAAGGGGAGCGACACCATTAATGTTCATACTAAATGCTCAACCAAAAACAAGAGTGAATGCATGAAGGACTACAGTCTAGGAGGCCAAAATGCGGCAGATGATTGAGAATTCCAGTCCCATAATGTACTGGACCTTAAACCGTCACTCAGTATTACACAACAAATGCATGCAGGAGACAGATGAGGACTCGACTGAGACAAACGCAACTCGAGGCCTTTCAGCTTTCAACAAGAGGCCAGGATCAGCTTTCCTGGGCCTAATTACAGCGGCGTTTAATCACCTTGCCGGTTGACTTCACCCCTTTCCACACGCAGAAATACACCATGACCCACGTAGCCAAGAGGCACAGCATCACTTCCCAGTTTATGGCTCCAGGTTGGTCCAACCCATCTGAGATGTTCAGAACTTTATTTCTGCCAAAGGAGACAAGAGTTAACATAGTGAAACTTTAGTGAAAAGTAGTTTAAATTGTAGTTGTACAATTAAACAAAAAATTAAACATACTTTAAAAAACAGTCATAATTTTTATGGTACTACTATGCTGGTACTATATATGGTACTATATAAACATGGCTATAATGTGTTCCGCCTTTTTATAAATAGTTTTTATAAATAGTTATAGCCATGTTTATAATACTTTATGAATACATTATAATGCATTATGAAGGTATCTGTAATGCATTATAGATGAGTGCTTTAAGTAAAGTGTTACCCAAAGAACATTTTGAACAATAAATACCATTTGGTTATTTGGGTTGCTTAATTTCCTTGAGATAGAGCTCTTTGGATCCTTTTTTAAAAAATCAGGAAAATACGTAAGGGGATGGAACATAACAAACTATAGTAACTATCTCTTGTCATTCAGCCCTAAATACCAAGATCTTTAAATGATCACTTTTGCTAAATGGTAAAATTATCTATCAGTGCATACAGTCTATAAACTAATATTTAAACTAAGACACTGCATCACAAATACTCCTTTATTGAGCATTTATTATAAGGTTTATGGTATAAATAGGATCTCTGTGTGCATGTTATGTCTGGCATTGGTTATGACATTGAAAGGAAACAGAGCATGTTATAATTTTAGTGTGCGGAGTGATTACCCTGTCAAAAGGGACAAAACAACGGCAGTGACTGTGCTACAGAAACTTACTCCCAGAATTCCATGATGGGCGAGCGACCCTCTGCCAGCTCCTCACACGTCAAGTTGCCGAAGCTGGAGTTTCCAATGGTGCCATTTTGGCACTCATCATGGCGGAAGATCTCGATGCAGGTCTCGCTGTTCCAGGGATTGTTACAGGTCGACCAGGGAAGTGTAGCGCTGAAGGACTTGATGAAGTAGTAGAAGCCCCAGGCCAGCACCATGATGTAATAGGTGTTGCAGAAGAATACTATGACCATTGAGGCATAGCCTAACCCTAGAATATGAAGGCAAGACCAGAAGGTCAGAGCAATTTCAAGAAAAGTGTGGAGTTCAACCTGACCAGCTGCATATCATTTTTGTACAGCAGCTGCACAACGGGAGACCACAAAGCACCGTTCAGGGTGGTGGGGAACAGCCCGTCACCGGAAAATAGCTGGCAGATCAGGGCATTTATTCATGAGCTGCCTCAGTGCATAATGGCCGAGCTCCTGGTAACCTGCATACAACAAAAGTATAAACAAACTGAAAACTGCATAAAGAAATATAAACAGGGACTGAAATAACTGGTACACAAGTATCTATTTGCATTATAAAGGTTAAAATGTGTGCTGATTTCTTGTCGCGACAGCGCAAATGTACATAAAATAAGTAAGTATAAATTTTAGCGCATTTTTATACTGCAAATGCATACTTTTGTACAAGTCACGCCAATCTCAGCATATAAAGAGGAATCGCTTCTTGTGTAGTCTTTCTAAGTCACAGCTCCTGTGGTCACTGGGGTGGCTCTGGGAGCAGTGCAGTGGCCTCACATCTCTAGGGATGCGGGTTCCTTTCGCTCAGTGTGTGTAGAGTCTGCTTGGATTTCGCTCCAGCAATCCTGCATGCCTAAAGACATGCGCTTCGGCTAACTGGTGCCCCCAAACGGCCTGCGGTATGCCTGTGTGCGGCTGTGTGCCCCGCAAGGAACTGCGATCATGTCTAGGGTGTTCTCTGCATTGGAGCCTCTTGTTTCTGCACGACCTTATTTTGGATAAGTCGTTATGCAAGGAATCTCCTTCTTAGCGTTAACTAGCAAGACCTTAAGAAACTTCTGAAGAAAATAAGTAAGTAAATAAATAAACAAACAAACAAACAAATAAATAAATAATGACAGCATTTTGAGTAAATTAGGTTGAAAAAATTACTGGATGCAATATATACTTGGCTAGACCAGACTGAAATCCAAGGTGTACGAGAAATAATGTACCTTTAAAGAGTGGCGCAATATTCCACACATTGATGCTCCCCGCCTTCATGAACTGGCCAAGAGAAATTTCCAGGAAGAAGATTGGAATACCGCCCACTACTACAATCAACAGGTAGGGAATGAGGAACACTCCTGGAAGGGAAAGAAAGAGATAAAAAAACTGGGGTGAGTAACTGCGATCCAGGTAATACTTACGTGTAAGAACTTTGGTGTAGTGTTACGTGTTACGGAGGAACCGATATCAGCAAAGCTGGAAAGTCCATTTACCACTCACTTAAGCAAATAACCATTTATAGTAGTATTTATGTAGAAGATGATCCCAACTGATAAAATGAGAAGTGTATTAGGACTCTTAGTGAACTACCCTTTAAGATGGAGCAGAACAGATGCAAGCTTTGTCTATTCTCTTGACCTGCTGAAACGCAGACTGAGTGAGTGAGTGAATGAGTGGACTGAGCTGCAGAGCCCTTCAGAGATTAGCGCTCGCTGCTAACGCCGTGGCAGCTGCCGCATTAGCTAGCCAGGCCCTGAAACGCAAGCCAGGCCTTCGTCCATAATAACTGAGCGATTATGAAGTGACACCAGTGGCAGAGGCTTACGCTGGCTGGGGTGGGGGGGTTGCATGTTAGGAAGATGGGGGCGGGGTTTCACAGTGGATTACTCGGTGAGCGGTGCGCTGGCCTGAATGGAGTGGAAGTGACATCACTCAGGGCTCGTTAGTCTCCGTGGAGATTCCGATAGGGCCGGCCGATGATACAGAAGAGGCCAAGCTATTCACAGTGGCCTGCATTGCATAACTGGGGCCCTGCAGGCCAGGGACAGCATCTGTGCCGTCTACAGCCCCCTGCTCCCACTGCCGACATTGACAGCAGGTGGTTTGAGGGTTAAAGCCTCATCAATGAGTCAGAAAGTTATAGGGGATGTTAAAGCGAGTCATAGCAAGATGCAGTATCAACAGCCTGCCATGGAAATGGGGCCCCATATGAAGCTGCTGTTTTGTGCAATAACTACAGAGCTAATAAGCAAATTCTAAGAACGGGGTTACGTGAAAACTGACAGTGAGCAATCATGGCAACGGGCAGGTTAATACAGTGAACAAGGAGCATGGGGAGATAAGCTGGGCGAGGTGCTGAATGAGGCGGGAAATCAGGCTCGTTTATAAGCGAAGGACATGACTGCAGTGGCAGTGAATGACGCGCGAGAGCGTGACTGTTGGCATGGAGCAATGACAACGTGCCAGTGAGTCATACACACTGCGGTGGCAGCGGAAAAAGCTGGGGGGGGGCAGGCAGGGGGGTGGGGACCAATCAGCACTCATGTCCAGCACCTTCTGGGTAGCTGGATATTTAACAGGGAGTTGTCAGGAGAACTGCATCCCCTACAAAAGGAGACAAGGAGCACAGACCGTCCACTGGCTATGGCGTATCTTAAAGGCATTTAATGCTTTCTTCTGTGGTAATTCGGTAAGCGGAGCTGAACTAAGGAATGACGTAACAGCAGACAGGGCATCTCCCGGTAAAATAGGTCACAGTAAGAGGATGCATTTTTGAAGGATACACTTAGCGTTTATCTTACTATGTCATAAACACCTCGCCTATAAAGCATGAGTAAAAAGCTGCTCTCACCTCCATTGCCTATACAGTCAACACTTTATCTGCACTGTCATTAAGAAAGAACATACGGTACTTCCAGATAATAAACCTATAATAATATTAAATGGGTTTTAATTACAAATTCATATGCAAAATATCGAACATAATTAAACAGTTAAATGTTTTAAATTATTTCGGTGGGGAAACTATAAAAAATGTGTTTAATTATTGGAATGGAATACTAGGAAATAATTAATAATCAAAGTGTCTTTGAAACCATAGTTTAGACAAAATATTAGGTAAAAATTTGGTAAGAAACACTTTTAGTTTGTGAGTTTATTAAGATGTGATTCCATTTTGGCTGGAGGACAAAGGGCACTTGCTTGAATGAGGCGGGTGCATCATGCTGTCAGCCAATCAGGAGGGCTGTTACCAGTATCTAAAGTTGGGGCAGGGGCATCAAATTTGTCTATCTGCTGCTGATGGTGCTGCTAGAACTACTGACCATGTCCCAGTCTGTCCACACAGAAACCCAGGAATCACAGGCAGCGCCGACAGATGGAAGATGTGTTTATCTGGAGTGTGATGCATTAACTGCTGAGAACACTCACATCGGCTAAAGTACGGACAGTACAAGATTAGCTGGATCTTAGATTAGATAAAGACTATAATCTATAAGTTGTTTATTTTTCTACATTCAGTCATGCAATATTAGTATATTAGTAAATTAGTAAAATTAAATATTAGTAAAGTTGTCAAGGTACCAAATAACTATGATATTCCTGGAAATATCCTAAATAAATGCCTGCAAGAGACAGGTTAAAAAAAATTATATTTAATGAGATGGAATACTGGAGCAGATTACATCCCGTCCCTTCCACGTCACACAGGGAACAGGATGTGGAAAAAAAAGCATTCGAGGTGGTATTGCTTAAAAACTGCTGCTGCTGTGCCAGGGTCGCTCCGACCCCCACCTCGAACCTCCCCCCCGGGTCGTGTCATCTTCCAGCTCGAACCTCCCCCCCGGGTCGTGTCATCTCCCACCTCCAACCTCCCCCCCAGGTTGTTTTGTTTCCTGGCCTGAGTAAACCCCCCCCCCGGGTTGTGTCGTTCCCTGGCCCGAGTCCCCCCCCTAGGTCGTGTTGTCTCCCGTCATGAAGCCCCCCACGTTCTGTCGTATCACGACCCAAACCTCCCCCAGCTGATGCTGCATTGACCCCTGCCCCGAACTCCCCCGGGTCACTCTGTCTCCTACCCCGAACTCCCCCGGGTCACTCTGTCCCTCGCACTGAACCCCAACCCCCCCCCCCGGGTCGCGTCGTCTCCCATGCTGAATCCTTAAACGGGTCTCAGGGAGGAGATTAAAAGATTAATGGACAGTCTTCTTAACCAGGCCTCCATGCGGGGCGAGGAGCCAGCTGTAATCTGGGGGCATCCACGTGGGTCAAGGCACAGCGGGGAGCCCTCCCCGAACCCCCCCCCACCCAAAGACACCTTTTATTTATAAAGGAGGCCCAGGAAATCAATGGCTATTTCCTGCTGACAAAATAAAATAAACGGATTTGATGGGGGCACTATTGATCGACAGCCTCATACAATGTTACTTAGCATCTGAATATAGTCTCTGCTTCAAGAGAGGACAGGGTTATTGGGGTGGGACCATGCTATGCTAGCAAGCCATTATAATTGCTGATAGAATTATTAGCAGGGGACATGCTAGTTTGTCCCCTATCTGAGAGGAGGACAGGCAGAATCACATGATGCTGGTACACCCTGCATCCATACTGCCAAGGACAAGCGGAGGGCTCACTGCAGCACTCATAAATCTGAGTGCTGGCATCCACTGTGCGCCGCCTGCTGCTGATGAAGGGGGAGGGGCGTGAGGCGGCCCGTCAGTCACGGGCGGGTGCATAAAAAAAAAAGAAAAAAAAGAAAAAACTCTGTCTGCCGGCAACACATTAAACCCACAGGATGAGTACAGCAGCATAAGACCAAAATCAGGCCAGCGAGTTTTAACAAGGGCACCAGGCGTAAGAAATGTCCAATCTTTATAGCATATATATGACAAGGTAATTTATAATTATTTCAATAACAATTCACGTAAACAGATTATATAGAACAGGGATCAAAATTATTGCTAGGTATTTTATCATAATAAAATGTCAGAAAAATATAGCCTAGATTGAGTGTCTTAATGGTATATTATGCTGTTACAGTAGAGAATAGAGAGTAAATGAACCATCATAATATTTTTATAGCAAATATGAACCCCCATGACCCAGACAAGTGGTTATGGAAAATTAATGAATAAATGAGTAAAAATGGTACATATAAAACCTTTGTTAAGTAAGAGTTGTGGAGTATCTGCTGGGTGTGATCCTGCTTTCTCAGGGACAGTGGAAATCATCGTAGTGCAGGGTGAAAGTAGCAGTAACTTTCAGACTGTGGTGAACTTGGTGACGGCAGTTTACAGCAAAGGTCTCAGACTGTAACCTCTGTGCTGACACAGTTCCCGTGGAAAACGAAGGCGTCTCTTCACAACAACCATGGTGACGATGTCATTGTTCAAGCTGTTCAGTAACACCAGACGTTAATGTTGCACTAGGCTTTCAATTGGCAGTAAAAATCAGGTCAGCATTGCAGCAAACACCCAGTTCCTGTAAATACTGAGAAATGGGAACACACTCCCTACTAAGATTACTCACATTCATTTGGGCATATTTGTCCATGTCTTAAATAACATTTATGACTGAACTACTTATTCTTGTTATCCGTTGCACAGCTGATGGATTTCAAAGAACTGACCTCTGAAATATGGTCCCTTATGTAAAGCCATTTAAGATAATTAAAGTGAAGATGAGGCGCTTCCAAACACACATAACTGGAAGTTTCTTGTGATGCTAAGCTTACTGTTACTGATTCATTCTGTCGGGGGAAATGTCTGTCAACATTAACAAGTGTCATGACAATAACAACAATTATGTAGGAGTCATGAAGTATAACTAATCAAGGAGATCATCATAGCAGTTTTCTCAGGTAAAACAAAAATAAAAGTCTAGCATTCTTACACCCACAACATTTCCTTGATGAATGCAAGTCCATGGTCTTTCTGAACCTGAATTCTCCTTCACACATGCACACACCTTGAGAATGAGCCTTACGCTATACATGACTGTAATGAGACTCCAAACCAGGACTAAAAACACAGCTGTTCATACCATTGCTATGCCATATATGTCCTAGTTGTTCTGGTGCAAAAACACCAACGATAACAAACGGGGGAATAAATGCTTGAGTGTCATTGTAATTCAGTCATAAGCTAAGGCTGCGGAAATCTAATGCCAACAGATCATCAAGGAGACCGACACAGCAATGGCTTGAGTGGAGAGAGTGGAGGTGCAGCCTCCACTGGACAGGTACTTTGTGTCTGTGAGAATGTGTCCTTCTCAGCACGGTGAATCTGAATTAAGACCTCTGAGGAACCTCCAAGGAATGTGAACACCCACACAATCTGACACACAGCCTGGCACCCCGGGCTGA